TACAAGATAATAGCATGGGCATTAGAGGATAAAGCTGTCATTAAGCATCCATGTAGGAGTTGGAGACAGGGCACTGTCTGGCAGCAGACAATGAGGGGGTAGTTCTTGCACTTGCAGTGGCAAATTTTGTATGTTGGCAAGACCATTGCAATAGGAGTTGGTTGGAATTGACCTTTTAACCAAAGGGGGCTGAGGTGGGAGATAGGAGGAAATGGTTGAAGCCAGTGTCTTGGGGCACAGGGGACATACTGTGTTGCACTAACATGTCAGGCTGTCAGAAGCAGCAAGGAATCATCCGGGTCCATGATTTTAGACTTACTTCTCTGGGAGGCAAGTACACGTCGTGCCATTTACTATTGCGCAAGGGACCTCAGCATGGGGCAGTGTTCCTTTATTGCTTAAAATGTGTTAGGAGTCATGTTTTGGCTCTTGCAGAACAGTAACCATTGATCAGGCTTACCTTTAAAAGTAATTGTGTTTGCAAGAGGATACACAGCCTGTTTATATTGAGTCCAAATGGAATTTTTCTGTTCACATTAGAAAAGAAAACAGCTTTAGGATCTAAACATGTGCATGCTTCTCATAGAATCATAGAATCGTTTAGCTTGGAAAAGACCTTTAAGATCATCCAGTCCAACCATTAACCTAACATTACCAAGTCCACACTAAACCAATTAAGCGTAGACTAGACTAAACCATGTCTCAAAGTGCCACGTCTACCCGTTTTTTGAACGCTTCCAGGGTTGGTGACTCCACCACCTCTCTGGGCAGCCTGGTCCAATGCTTGACTACCCTTTCCGTAAAGAAATTTTTCCTAATATCCAATCTAAACCTCCCCTGATGCAGCTTGAGCCCATTTCCTCTCATCCTATTGCTAACTACTTGGGAGAAGAGACCAACACCCACCTCACTACAACCTCCTTTCAGGTAGTTGTAGAGAGCGATAAGGTCTCCCCTCAGCCTCCTCTTCTCCAGGCTGAACAACCCCAGTTCCCTCAGCGGCTCCTCATATGAGCAATCCTTTGTGAGCAGAATTTCCTCGCAGTCCAGCTAGTCCAATATTTTCTGGCTGATCGTGGCCAGGACCAGACAACTGGAGGGAGATTGGAGGAGATTCCTACAGTGTGGAATAACTCCTGCTTCAGCCCATAGTTTGTAGAGGACAGCTAAAT